AGCTTTTAGCATTTAGCTTAAAGAGAAGGTGAATGCTAATGTCTGCTACTCTAGCCAAATTCAAGGCTTTACTCATAAAGTAAGTCTTTGTTCAAGGCAGCCTCAATGCAGCCTGAGACTGCTTTTTATTTAGTCTCATTACTACAGAAATGCCTTATAGCTAGTATCTTAATTATTCATGGTTTGTTGGCCAATTAAGTCACTTGCTTCTCCAATATCTAGAAATGGAGGAAGTGTTCAATTCCAAAGAAATTATGCCTTCCTAGCTTTGCTGACCTGACCATAATGTTGTTGGCAAATACCTTATGAATAGGTGGGAGATCTTATTTCACTTATAGTATATGAATAAAAAGAACACCCCCAGGAGACTGCCAGGTATTTCATGTAATGGATATCTCCCTTCCCACCCTATTTCTCTCTAGAGTGATTAATCTTTGGCTTTCCTTACAAACAAGACTAGAAGAAGCAAGAAAAATGACACCTTTTTATCAACAAGATCATATAAAATTTGGTTCAGTAAAATATGTAACTCCCCGGTGTGTGTGTCCAGTCCACATGCCTGAAAGCTGTGCAGTGCAGTGGGACGGTCCCCTCTCTGATTTAGAATTTATAATTATGGGATAGGAAAGGGGTATTCTCATGAGAAGCCCCTTAACTCAAATTCCTGTGGCGAAATACAAACAAAGGTATTTAGGTATTTGAGAATTTACCTTTGTACCTATCTTAAAAAATAGCCAATTTTTTTTTTTTTTTTTGGACAGAGCAGTAGATTTGACATTCTAATGATGCAGTGGACATTACTGGTTGCATTTCAGCCAAGCATTTTGCCCTCCTCCCTGTGGTCTAAGTGGGGCCAACCTCACTCCTAGGTTAAGAAATGGCCCATTCCCCCTCCAGCCTTAGCAAATCAATGCAATCCAGTATTTCTTAGCCTTTTAATTCACTTCTTTCTGCTTAAGGAGCCTTTTAGTTTTTTTTTTGTTTTTTTTTTTTTTTTTTTTTTTTTTGTTGTTCCTCTCCTTTTTTTTTTTTTTTTTTTTTTTTTTTTTGTGGCATCTGTTGTTAGGTCTCCTCTCTATTCTATTTTTATGTATTTATTTTGAGACAGAGTCTCGCTCTGTTGCCCCAGTTGGAGTGCAGTGGTGTGATCTTGGCTCACTGCAACCTCCACCTCCCGAGTTTAAGTGATGCTCATGCCTCAGCCTCCTGAGTAGCTAGGATTACAGGTGTGCGCCACCATTCTGGCTAATTTTTGTATTTTTAGTAGAGATGGGGTTTTGCCATGTTGGCCAGGCTGTTCTCGAACTCTTGATATCAAGTGATCCACTCGCCTTGGCCTCCCAAAGTGCTGGGATTACAGGCATTAGCTACCACACCTAGCTACTTTTTGTATTTTAAGTAGAGACGGGGTCTCGCCATATTGGCCACAGTGGTCTCAAACTCCTGACCTCAGGTGATCTGCCCACCTCAGTCTCCCAAAGTGCTGGGATTAAGTGTGAGCCACTGTGCTCAGCCCAACCCGTTTTATTTTAATGTCACATCTATACTATATTTCTGTTTATTTATTCCATGTATAGTTGTATTTTATAAATAAAAGTAGTAAATTTTTTTGCCACCCCTTCTCTAAAATAATTTTTGCCTCTCTTGGGCCATATCGCTCTCACTGAAAACACATGAATTGTCATCCAATACTCTGTGCCAACCAGTGCATGGCATCAAGAGTGGGTACAGACCCTAAATTGGAGTTCCAGCACGTAAACTGGGACTTTTAGTTTTTTTGATATTTGGAGGATATGAGAAACTCTTTTTTTTTTTTTTTTTTTTTTTTTTTTTTTTTTTTTTTTTTTTTTTTTTTTTTTTTTTTTTTTTTTTCCTGGATGTGTGGATATAAGGCCTCAACCTGCTGTGGTTATCTGCTACTGTGAGGAAGAAACCAGATGAAGATAAAGCCAACACATAAGCCAGACCAGGATTGAAAGAATTATGGGGAGTAATTCTTATTTGATCAGCAGAGTACCCTGATCAAACCATACCTAAAGTTCATTCTATTACTAGATTTTCAGCTGTGACAAAAGTCATTTAACTCTGTAGGCAAGTTTGAATTGGGTTTCTTACTATGATTAAAAAAAATCCTAACTGATAGAAAAGATAACATTTATTGAATGCTTTCTAAGGTCCAGGCAGGATGTTAAATATCTTAAATGTCTATTCTTTTATCAACCTCTGTGATTAGTACTATTAATTTCCCATTTTATAAATGATGAAGCTGAAGTATAATAAGATTAACTTACCCATGGTCACACATAGGCAAAGACTGGATTAACTCCCTTGTCTATTTAACTTGCAGCCTAAGGTATTAATCACTTTATGTTACTGTCTTTTAGTTCTACACAATTAAGTCACTAACTTTTCACTTAATATTTGAAAACCATTAAAAAATGATCCTTCCTTGCAAAAGATGACATTGCACAATTAATATTATTCTTCAAAGGCTAAAAATGTTTTTGAAAATCTTATTTTCGCAAAAGCACAGGAAACTGTAGAGATCATTTTCTTCTGATTCTATATTCATAAAAGCCTTTGTTATTTATTTTTATTGATAAATATTAGATGTACATATTTTAGGGGTACATGAGATAATGTGACACATTCATATAATCAAAGCAGGGTAACTGGGATAGCCAAATCTTTAAATATTTTAATTAATTAATTTTTTTAGAGGAGGTCTCCCTCTGTCACTTAGGCTTAAGTGCAATGGATAATTATGGCTCCCTGCAGCCTTGAACTCCTGGGCTCAACTGACCCTCCTGCCTCAGCCTCCTGAGCAGAGATGACTACACGTGCATGACACTACACCTGGCTAATTTTAAATTTTTTTTGTAGAGATGAGGTCTCACTATGTTGCTCAGACTGGTCTTGAACTCCTGGGCTCAAGGGATCCTACCACTTTAGGCTCCCAAAATGTTGGGATTACAGGCATGAGCCATGATATCCAGCCATTATCTTTTCTTTATGCTAGAAACATTCAAATGATTCTCTTCTAGTTATTTGGAAATGTACAATTGATTACTGTTAAAAAGAAGGAGCAGAGACTTAACCTCTTTCTTTTTCTTTTCTTTCTTTTTTTTTTTTTTTTTTTTTTTTTTTTTTAAGAGATGGGTCTCACTATGTTGCCCTGCTGGCCTCAAACTCCTGGGCTCAAGTGATCTTCCTGCCTCAGCCTTCTGAGTAGCTGGGACTACAGGCGTGTAGTACACAGCCTAAATGTCATCATTATTTTAGATGTTCTTATCAATGATGAGATGGTATTGCCTCAGTTACCATCCATTTTATAGAAAAGAAAAAATACATATATTTTAGTAGCTCAGTCTTTCAAATAGCCACTGTGCTGAAAAATTATCAGTCAACCTTACATAGAGCCCACAATGTCTCAGGTTTCTGGAATCTTTATTTTTGAATTGGTCAGTAACAGTATTAGAGATAAGCCATAAATCCTCTGAATCCTTGGGGAGTGAGGCACAGAGTCTTTCTGGTTGGCTACAATATTTGTGATCCGTTTTTGAAAGTTTCTCAAACATTAAAATGAGAAAACAAAATTACACAAGGGGCACTTATTCTACAGACCAGACTGAACAGGGATTTCCCAAGAGATGGGTGGGGGGAAGGCTTTAAAGACAGACACCTCTCTGGCTCCAAAAAGCCAGGGAGCTATGTAATGTGGCCAGATGGGATATATCTACAATTCCCTAATACTCTCAAGCCCTCACATGCTGCCCTGGTTCCCAACCTGCCTTTCATATTCCATTTCAAAATGCAAATTTTCACAGATATGTTATATAAAGCAGAAGCAGTGAAAGCACAAGTTCAAATATTCCTCATATTTTGACAAGGATGACAAGGGGATGCTGACTCTTTAGACTTCCATAGTCCAACCTTAGGTGCTGGCCTCTTCATTTTGCCTGACTGATGGAAGACTATGGTTTGTCAAAATCAAGTGCTTGATCACGTCTGAGACACAATATAATGCGATATAAATTCTAGACATATGAGGAATAGGGTCAAGTGGGGGAATCCAGGAACTGCAACAAAGCTATTCCACCTCACAGGAAAGAAAATATGATATTATGTTTCCACTGTAAACACCAGGTATATTTCTAATTAAACAATGCAGATTTAAAAAAAAATCTCAACTATATTAACTACCAAAGCACAGGACTTTTAAATTCATAAATTACTGTTAAGAAAAAAAAATCCAGGCAAACTGCAGTCCCAGAGAGGATGAATGGTCTCCTAGTTGAGCAAAGTTGCTGCATTTTTTTCCCTGCAGGGTCGGACCAAGCAGAGACATAAAGGGGCTGTGCTGTGTGACAGGGAGTAAATCCTAACATAAGCATTCCAACGTGTAGCCCAGCCACCTCTCTCTTCCCCAGCCTGTCATCCTCCTGCAAAGTGTTCACAATTTGCTGTCTTTCCTTCCAAAAGCCAGTAGACACAGAATCAGCTTTTCCTGGCTGTGCCTTACAAGTTGGGGCAGCCTGATGGAAAACTGAAAATCCAACGGAAGAATGCAAATCCACCAAGCCCCCCTCTGCCAGCAAATTGGTGTGAAACCGTTGCTTCAGAAGCAGCCATCCCCACCCCAATGAAATTAAAAAGAAGCACTCATTTGAATATCTAAGTGGCTTTCTGCAGACCCTCTGCTGCAAAGCAACAGCCTTCCTAGCCAAGCACCAACCAGTACACCATCGCTCTGTAACAGATGTCTGCAAACGCTGGGACTATCTCGCAAGTGCCCCCCATGCCGGATTTGAGAAATTCACGAGCTCTGTCAAGCAGTAGTTACCTAGAGCTGCTGAATGTTTGACCCAAGGGCCAAGCAGTCTGCTAAGAGTTTAACCAGAGCCAGAGGGGGAAAGAATAAAATCATACAGGTGGAACCGCCTTCCCATGAGTGCTGGGCATCCAGCAGGGGCCCTCGGGTGGCGCACGCTCCGGCTCACCTGGTACACGTCCTGCAGCCCGCACCACGTCCGCAGCACCTGGTGGCAAGCCCGCAGCCTCTCCGTGTACCATCTCCGCAGCGTGGACACGGTCAAGTTCCACACGAAGCGGCTGCCGCTGAACAGCAGGTCTTCCACGCCACACATGAACACCGAAGCCATGCCTCCTCCTTCGCTCCGAACCCGAGGGTCCTGGCTTTCGCTGCTGCAGCCCCGATCCCAGCGGCCCGCCCGCTTGGGCTCCCGACGCCGGCTTCTGCTGGCTGCCAGGGGGTCAAGCCTGCCACCAAACTCGTCTTTCACCGTGCGTCCTGGCCAGGCTCCGGCGGCATGCCCTGGGATTGGGCGCCCGCCAGCCAACGGCTGCGACTGGCACACAGAAGCCCAGTGTCCACCCCCGCCCGCTCGCAGCGCCGAGCGAGCTGTGCTAAGCTCCACCAAGCTAGCCCTCGGCGCTCCCAGGGCACGGGAAGCCCTGGCCGGCGAGGACTCCCCCTGGCGCTTCCCCAGGGCGCGCGGCAGGGACAGAAGCGGAGCAACTCTTTGCAGGCAGAGAGGGGAGCTGCATTTCAGCACACTTGGCTTCACGTCTTCCGCGCGCGTACACACACACACACACACACACACACACACACACACGCGCGCGCGCGCACCCGGCCGAAGAGTCCCCTAATCTGCCTTGGGGAACACCTTACTCATCTTGTTCTGTCCACACTGATAAACACCTCTGGCCAGCCACAGATGCAGAAGAGAGAAAAAAAAATCCTCCAAAGCATCCCTTTGGACCCTACTCCTGGGGGAATAGCCACGAATGTTTCCTTGGTTCTGCTGGAAGCAGGAGATGAAGGCAGCAGTCTCAAAGCAACAGGCTGCCCTAGAACCTGCCTTTGCTCCTAACTTGAGGGTCTCAGAGAAAATGACAACCTCCTGTGGCTGCCAGCAGGAGGGCAGGTTCCCTCACATCAAGATGCTGCTAATTCCAATGCAGCAGTCAGGGAGAAAAACAGAGTTCTTGATCTCTGTAAATAGCTTGCCATTACTACTGCTGGGAAACAGAAGCCCAGAAGAGAATCAGTGGTTTCGTCCTGGAAAATTCAGCCTCTGGACATGTCTAACCTCACCTGCCAGCACCAACTTGCATGGGTAGTTTATTCTTCACTCAAAACCAAAGGAAACTGTCCCATCACTCATGATGTCACTAGATAATTCATCTTTATTATTATTTTTTAACTTACCCCTCAAGAATTGATACTGATTGTTGGAGGCCTTTGGAAAAAGGAGCTCAAGGAGTCCCACATACCACCAGTCTCTATTTGCCTTTATTTTTGAGACAAGGTCTATTGCCCCGGCTGGAGAGCAGTGACTCAACCATAGCTCACTGCTGCCTTGAACTCCTGGGCTGAAGTGATCCATCTTCCCACCTCAGCCACTTGAGTAGCTGGGACTACAGGCATGTACCACCAAGCCAGACCAAGTTTATTATCACTATTAGTTGTAGACTTGGGGTCTCACTCTGTTGCCCAGACTGGTTTCAAGCCTGGGCTCAAGCAATCTTCCAGCCTCAGCCTCCCAGAGTGCTAGGATTACAGGCATGACCCAGTGTGCCCAGCCTCTATTTTCCCTTAGAATGTATGAAGATTTCTCATAGCAAAAGTGCTATAGCAAATTTCAGGATGGAGTTTTTTCCTGAATCCATCTGTAGGTCAATTGTCTGTATTTTCTTGGCTGTTTCACACCTGGGTTGTTATCTATGCTATTAAGTGGCACCAAAAGGAAAGTAAGGCACAAAAGCTTTTCTCCTAACCAGCCCAGAAGACTCCAGAACAGATTATCGACAAGTAAATCAGCTTGATTTCAGGTATCAAATGTGCTTTTAGAATCTTAATTCAGGTGAAACTCAATCAGTCAAAAGACGGAGAAGACAAAATCTGTCCTCCAAGTGCCTGTTTTCAAAGTGACCATAATCAGAAAACTTTTAAATGACGTTTCTTTCTTTAATAAAATTGCCTAAGAGTTGTTGCTGAATTAGTTAATAGGACACAAGACTTGATCCAAGATTTGCAAACCTTTCTTCAGAGTAAATCTTTATGTGCTCATCAGTATTGATAGTTTTCTTTTTCAAGATAATGGCAACGATGAATCTGAATATAATAGGTTTTACTGAATCAAAAGAAAATGAACTTAGTTTGAAAAAGAAATGTCATCCTGCTGAATGGAAAACTACTGACTTCAAAAATGGCCTATTACTACGAGCAAATAGTGGTGGTACATTTATTATTATTTTTTTTAACAATGCAGCTCAACTCTGTTCTCGGAAATGTCGGGCAGCCAAGGGAATACCAGAATAAAACCTGCAACAGGTCAATTACCTCTGTCTCATGACACCATCCTCTCAGAAGAGAGGCTCTAGAAACACTCTGGCTGTTAGCTATCTGTGTGTAGGTCTAATGTCAGCAGTCACTTTCAAATTCCATTATGTTCAATTCAAGGTTTCCAGAGTCAATGCAAGTTTTTAGAAGATAGAATGTGGTATAACAGGGGTTGTCAAAGTGTGGTCACTGGGCCAGCAGCTTCGGTATCACCAGAGAAGTTGCTAGAGATGCAAGGTCTCAGGCAACCCCAGAATCAGCAGCTGTGGGTGTGGCTGGGGGTGGGGAGGGGGTGAGATCAGCGATCAGAGCTTTCACTTGGCCTCCAGGGGATAGCAACTCATGCTAAGATTAGAGAACTACAACAGTGATAGTATGGTGATTAGGAGCTAAATCTCGTAAAAGAGACACACCTGACTTCAGATCTCTGCTCCTCAAGACCTGTGAGACTCCAATAAGCTCCTTAAATCAACAGTCTCAATGTCCTCATGTATACAATGTATTATCAGTATCCACTACAGAAAGTTTGGGGAAAATTAAATATTCTTTATAAGATCTTTAGCATGATGTCTGGTGAAGGGTAAGCATCCAAAGAAAACTAACCACCATCACCTCCTGAATTGAGAATTGTTTCAATTTTTTGTATTCAGATAAAACAGTATAAGTAAAATGTGGGGTTTTAAAAATATAGATTTAGTGGGCATAAATGCAATGTTGTTATATGGATATATTGCATAGTGGCGAAGTCTGGGCTTGAGTATAGTCATCACAAGAATAGTGTGCATCATTGTAGCCACCTACCCTCTGACCCTTCCCAGTCTCCACCACTATCTCCTAGTCTACTCTTTCCCTTTTTTTTCTTTTCTTTTCTTTTTTTTTTTTGAGATGGGAGTCTCCCTCTGTTGCCCAGGCTGGAGTGCGGTGGGGCCATCTCAGCTCACCGCCACCTCTGCCTCCTGGGTTCAAGTGATTCTCCTGCCTCAGCCTCCTGAGTAGCTGGAATTACAGGTGCCCACCACCATGCCAGGCCAATTTTTGTATTTTTAGTAGAGATGGGGTTTTGCCATGTTGGCCAGGTGTTCGAGCTCCTGACCTCAGGTGATCCATCTGCCTCAGCCTCCCAAAGTACTGGGATTACAGGCATGAGCCACAATGCCTGGCTATGGGCACGTGTACATATTATAAAATGTGTTTTTAATTTTCAACTAGTTACCTATATGTGCTTTCCTCTGCCTTTCTGTTTGTTGAAAGTGAAAGTTGGTGGGAATCTGTTTTCAGGGATTCCCTGTTGCTCTTTCAAGTTCCCACATAGCTTTTTGAATCTTGATCTTCCCCACCAGAGGAAACTTTTCCTGTGGACTCAGAGAAGCTGGGTGCAAGACAGGAGAAGACATCTTATTCCCACTGACATAAACATCTATGATTTTTTTCTTATCCAAATGGCTTTCCTCTCCTGTAGAAGAAGTTCGAAGGTCAAGATTGAGTGATTTTAGAGGGAAGGAAGTGCAACTTCCTCCACTCCAGGGACTGCAGTGGGTGGCAACTGAACCCAGATGTGTAGAAGTGGAGAAAATTGCGACCCAAGTATGGCATCATCCTTAAAATGGACTAGCCACACAGGACTAACCAGATCCCAGACACACGCCCTTGGAGCTGGTCTATAATTTTCTGTGGAAAAGGAGCTAAATCAAGCTAGCTTCAATATTGTCTTGCTATTTTTCTTCTTATTTTTTTTAATTTAAGAAGAGGATTTTCTTTCCTCCTCAGCACAGAGTTCCCTGCAATACACTGTAATTTCCTGCAGCTCTCTCTGGAGGCTTAAGACGATGCTTTGGGTGACAGCATTGCTCATACACCTGGGAGTCGTGCTGCCATAAAAGAGAAATTGTTATTATGCCTGAGGCTCCTGTAAATTCTCCTTTGAGCAACTGGCAGGAAGAAGAGCATGAACGCCAAGAAGATAGGACAAATTGCCAACCCATATCTCTAGGAAGAAAGTCCAAGGTAGTGAAATGGTAACTTCCATTGGTAACTTTCCAGTGGTCCCTTCTGTCCGGCAAAAATGCAGAGTCCAACTGATGTCTGTGGACATTTTTCAGCTGTACTCTCTACACACCTGAAAAGCCAGTGTGGGCAAACTGATAGATCATGGATGTCCACCATAGGGCTTGAGGCAAATGAAACAAGGTCTAGTTCAGTGGTTCTCAGCTGGGGGCAATTTTGTACCTCCCTCCCATGCTGGGACATTTGGCATTGTCAGAAGACATTTTTGGTTGTCACAACTGGGAGGTGGCATTGGCATCTAGCAGGTAGAGGCCAGGGATGCCGCTAAACATTAAATAATGCACTGGAGAGCCCCCACAGCAAAGGACTCTCCTGCCCAAAATGTCCCTGGTGCAGAGCTCAAGGAACTGTGGTCTAATTAAATGCTACAACCTGGCCAGGCACGGTGGCCTGTAATCCCAGCACTTTGGGAAGCTGAGGAGGGTGGATCACTTGAGGTCGGGAGTTTGAGACCAGCCTGGCCAAGATGACAAAACCAATCTCTTCTAAAAATACAAAAATTAGCTAGGAGTAGTGGCATGTGCCTGTAGTCCTGGCTGCTTAGGAGGCTGAGGTGGGAGGATTGCTTGAACCTGGAAGGTAGATGCTGCAATGAGCTGAGATGGCACCAGACTACACTTCAGCCTGGGCAACAGAGTGACACTCTGTCTCAAAAATAAATAAAAAATAAAATAAAATAAATGCTACACCCTGTTCTTCCTCTCACATGACTAGTCGTATAAAGACTTTCTCTTCCCTCTTGATATTTTCTTTCTAAAAGGCAGAAGAAATGAAGCAATCGCTGTATAATGGTTTTTTGTTTGTTTGTTTACACAGCCACAATTTCGAGTATAATGAACTCAAAGTCTTTTGAGAAATAACCGGAATGCCGTTTCCTATTATTTTCATTTACGATTTTTGGATACTTATCAACAAAAGGAAGAATAACTATCATAACAACTATTAATATTTTTGTACTTCAGTTTTTTTTTTATAATTTCATTTAAATCAGAGTTTCTGTAGTAGTAGTAGAAGCTTTTCTTTGGCATGTTTATAGAAA